TATATATATATAGATACATATATATATATATATATATATGCATCATCTACTGCAGTGCAGAGATCGCGTTTGAGCCTTGTGTGTTTGCGCACAGAACTGAATACATCTCTCTCGCGCGGTGGATGTGTGTGGTGGATCATTTCTGCGCCTCTGATATTCAATGTGCTCGTTCATCTCAAAAGCCAGTCGTTACACACGTGCTCGATTTTATACAATGAAGTATACATCTTGCTGCGGATGGGACTCAGTGTGCTATGTTCAATGAATGGGCAGTCTATGGCAGTGTAGAACGCATGTGTGCGATTTATATAACGATGCATATTTGAAGTCATGTGCGATACTCAAGAGACTCATCTGTGCCTCTGTACAACATAGTCGTATACGATTCCTGTTTTGGGTCTTGTGGAAAATCGTCTATGCTTGTATATGACACTTGTACGTGTCCATATATCACCACACGTAAACAAAGTGGTGTAATTGTTCGTTGCACAGGAAAAGACAGATCACTTCAGAGTGGTCTGAACTCGTGCAAGTTCCTACGAGATGAACTTCCCATTCGGTTAGCGCACATGATCAAAGAAATCGACGACATCCCGGCGCCCCTACTCAGCAGTACACCCGTCCAAATGGTCCGAGGCTGGTATGCACAGAAAAACCGATACATACCTACATACGGAGCGTTTAGTGCAATCTTGCAGGGTATTTATGCTACTGGCCTGTGTGTTAAATTGAATGAACCCTAATCAAGAGTCTGTTTATTGAATAGAAGTTTTGCACCTTGAGCAACGCCTTTGTTTGGCGATGCGGTGATGGACTCTATAGGAAGGACGCACTGATGTGTGTGGAACACTTTACATTGGTTCTATGACGGTCTCATGTGGTTGTGCATGTGCAGTGCCAAAGTACCAACCAACGCACTCACAGCTATGTATCGTAGACAATCTCTCTACCGGTAATAGAACACGTTTTGTTGATGGACGCCCTGATTTCATGCTGCACAGATTCTGAAACTGGCTGGCTAGTAGGGGCGTTCTTGTAGGCGAGCACAGGAATTAATCTTGTTTGGGTTCTATCAGCGCGAGCGCGTATAATCCTTTTGAAGTTTACTTTTAGACCCTTGGAAATATCCTTGTGTTTGACAACCTACTAAATTTATACCGGAAAATGTCAATGCCATTTGGGGTTTTATATATCGACAGGTACGTCGAATCGTTCCAAGATATTCTGTCGCTGGAGTCCGTGGCGCAAATAGATGAGAACAGAGCCGAGGAGTATGTCGAGAAGTTCACCCAGACTATATCGATGATACTGAAGCGACACGCGCCCGTGGTCGTGTCGATCGCACAAGGAATCTTAGAACTGAAGAGGTACGGAAAGGACATGCATACATATTTGACAAACGTCCAAGTTTTGTACATCTGTGAAGTTGGATCAGATATGCTGGTATCGTTTCTATACCTACTATGCATTTATTCTCTCTCACGATTGATTGATTTACATTGAGTGATACTTGAATAGAATTTAAGCGTATGGAATCGTGTTGTGTAAACCCCTTATAGTGGCTATGTGATCTGTGTTTGCATCAAGTTCATTATTTTTGCCTATATATACAAGAAGAAGTTGTAAATTACATTGTATGTACTCGTTAATACGTGACAAATGCACGTAAGCATATAAATATGAGTATGAAGATGCATAACTGTGTGTATAAATACACGTATATGTACGAGCATCATAGACACGTCAACGTGTACACACAAACGTTGTGCCTTTGTGGGATAATATCCTTTGTAGTACAACCCTGGGAGTCATAGTGTATGTATCCGAATGGTAAAGGTATATATACATAAAGTGACACACTTTTACGGGTATGTACGCCTCGTGTATGGTGGCTAATTCACATTTGATGCATATGCACGGTGTTTAATCGGTACCGCTTGTGAGTCGCGTTGTCAATGTTTGTCAATCCAAATCTGCCTTTTAAAAACTCGTGAATAAAACTTCATACAGGAGCTTATATATAACTATTCTAACTCATGCATCGGCTGTCTTTCCCACTTCCCGGCCTTCCCAGAACCCACGGGGAGCACTTTATGGGCAGACCCATTCAATACTTTCTGGATCGCATTTACATGAGTCGTATAGGTATGCAACTCTTGATCCCATTTTTTTCGCGTTTCCTATGGCATACTTGGCTGAATCGGTAGCTTATTCGTGTATGAATGCCGCTATGTACAGACAGATATGGCGTATAGATAAGTCTAGGGCGATCTGTATACTACAAAACGGGACATTTGCGGTCTATCGGCCAGCATTGACTAAATCACGCAACTAAAAATAATGTTCTTTCTGCGATTGCGATGAGCACGATACTTTTCTCTAGCATACATATCCCGGCTTGATCGTTCTATCCGGCTGTTGCCAAGCAAGTAACACTTGCCTGGCACAGGAACAACCGTTCAAACCAACCCTCTCATCGGCGAAGTGTATAGCCTTGTCGTACGCAGCATGTGCTTTAACCTTACTATATGACCACCATGTTTTTGTGGCTTGCAGGCATACGCATGCTCATAGGCCAGCACTGTGAGTTGTTCGGCAACAAGAGCTCGCCCAAAACCATGGTAGGCGTGATCGATGAGAGGTGCGATGTACCAGCTGTCATCATGGACGCCATTGACAACGCGAGGGTGTGTATCTGAGTTTCTCCTTCCTAAGTTGGCTGCGTGTACGTGTGCATGGTTAAGGTCTGCCCGTCTGAATATATCTACGCGCCTGCATGCTTATGGACATATATACGTACATTTGCGTTTCTCGGATTTTGAGCCAGTAGTATATTGCTTCCCAAGATTTCTCACAAGCGCACCCAACTATCAGACGTCTTATCACAACGCACACGACCGTACGTAATAGTGCAGACTAATAACTGGTATTGCAACGTGTAAGCACACAACAATTTAGCACATAACCACCCATCGAGGCTTACTGAAGGCTTTCCATTTGATCCGCAGTTTCTGTGCGAGCAATACTACTTTGCTTCGCCCGATGTATCGGTAGTGATGCCGCATCAAACCGAGGAGGCCTTCCGATTCCCTTACATCCCCTCGCATCTGTATCATATGATCTTTGAATTACTCAAGGTAGGGCTAGACGTCTTATGTGCTTGACTACAGGCGTGGCTTAGAACTCGTTACGGGTGGACTTTCAAACGTCTCGTAGCGCACACGTGTGGGAGTATACACAAAGTGAACTGTCAATTGTTGTGCGCGTCTTGGTGCTTGGTCGTGTCACGTTCTTATTATAACTGGCCACGTGATTTTGTGTTATGTGGTACGATTACATATTGCTGCAAACCCGTCACTCTTTTTGGAGAACCAAAGGTAGGCGTGCATTCGCATAT